GCCCCCCCAGCCGCAGTCGCAGCGGCCACCCCGGCCACAGTCCCCTGCCCAGCTGCTCCACCAGAACCCTCCACCGGTGCAGGCCCACCCCTCATCTCAGAGCCTCTCCCAGCCACTGTCCGCCTACAACAGCAGTAGCCTAAGCCTCAACAGTTTAAGGTGAGCTGCCAGCTCTTCACTCTTTTTTTGCCTGGTTTTTACCATCCTCCTCAGGACAGGCAGGTAGTAGGGGGTAAAGGACTCCTAAGGAGATGGCGTTTATTAGTTGGAAACTGTCGTTTTCTCTGTGAGGCCAGCAGACTGGGAAAGGGGGTGTTGGGTGAGAGGCGGGTCTCTTGGGACCGCACCAGGTGGGCCAGGTACTAAGGACACTGTCAAGATGTAAAATGTCACAGGTGCCCCTGAGAGTGAGGGGAGGAAGGGGAAGAGTGCTTCAGACACAACAGGAGGCACAGGGCCAGGGAGTTCCACCCTCAGCGTAAGTCCCGGATACATCCCAGGTCACTGAGTGCTAAGAGATTCTTAGAGGGAGGCTCCTTGCCTCTGAGCAGGACTCACAGAAAGCTTCAACTTCAGAGGCCGGTGGGGAGATTGAGACCCAAGGAGTATTCTGGTTTGAGGTTTTTTTTCCACTGTGATTTGCTTCCTCCTCTGTGGGTTAGAGAGAACTCAAAGGAATAAGCTGGGTCTAGAGAGAGAGAAATTCCTGCATGGAGATTCAGGCTCTCTCTGTCTTGTCTTTGTCAAGTTGTAAAGCAAAGTCAAGAAAGTAGCACAGAGGAAAATCGCAGAGAGGCAGAGGCCTGACGCTTGACCAAGCAGAGCCGGCTCCTGGCTGTCCCAGGGGTTATAATTCTGACCCCACACAATGCTTGAGGCTTCGTCTTTGTTATTGTTTTCCTTTGGGACTTGGTGACTGTGATGGCTCAGGGACTTGGTTTTTCCTGCCTCTGACAGGTGAGGGACAGACATAGGGAGGCACATCCTTCCTTAAGGGGCCAGGCCTGTCTTCTGACCTCTAGGCCATTTCCTGGCCTGCAGACCTTAGCAGTGATCAGAAAACCCAAGCACCTGCTTTTAACCTCTTTGTGTTTCTTCACATGAGAAGTGACGACAGGGTGAACACAGACTGTCCTTTTGTTCCTTTTTGTGAAGTTTGTTATCCTAGAGGAAATGCAGCTAGTGGAAGGTGAGCAGGCTCAGGATTCCCTGGGGGCTGAAATGAGAATCTGGCCTCACAAGTGGGAGCAGCCCAGAGTTTCTGACAGAATCCGCTGTGTCAACACAGAGTCATCCTATAGCTCTGGGGCAGCAGTTTGATGTCACTGTGTCTGCTATAGTCACGGGCAAGTCCCCAGGAACATAGTACATGACTTTGGGCAGGGAAATAGGACTTCTAAAAAATATGTTAATAATTTGCTTACTTCTTGCTTCTTAATTTTTTTCTTCTGTTTTGCTCTAACAGCAGTAGCAGAAGCAGTACTCCAGCGAAGACTCAACCCGCCCCTCCTCACATCTCCCACCACCCCTCCGCCTCCCCGTTCCCCCTCTCCCTGCCCAACCACAGCCCCCTGCACAGCTTCACACCCACCCTCCAGCCCCCCCCACACTCACATCACCCCAATATGTTTGCCCCTCCCACGGCTTTGCCTCCTCCACCACCACTGACATCAGGGAGTCTGCAGGTCCCCGGACACCCAGCCGGGAGCACTTACTCAGGTAAGACCGAGGTGCCTGCACTCGCTTACCCATGCACCTGCTGCCCCTCGCTGGTGGCCTTACCACTGTGTATGTTGTCCTGGACTGCTAGGTTTTATTTACTTATCTTCTGCTTTCTTATATGTACTCCTATGATCTTTCTCAAATCCTCTGTGGGCTGAGGTTCAGCAAAAATATGTGCCATCACCCCTAATAACCCAGCACCATCCTGGGGAATCAGACATTGCCTAAAAGAATGGGTCCGTCTGAAATCAGGAGACTTCCCACAAAGTTTGTCCCCTGAGTGGTAAAAGTGGTATGAGGCCTGTCATCCTGGCTCCCTACAGGATAAGGGCTTTCCCAGGCCCATGTCTATTTCACTCACAGATGTTAGATTGAATCCTGGTTTAAATGTTTTGCTTTTGTTGAATAGGACCTTCTACCTTCTTGGGAGGAGAAGATGCACTTTTTGTGACAGTAGAGCCGAAAACTTTGAGAACAGACCTAGTGTGGCATACTGGGTCTTTTTCTCCTCACCTGTGTCAATCAGGCCAAGTGTCCCCATGTCTGGTCCAGGGCAGCCACGTCTTTCTGCTAACACAGAGAGCTGTAAAGCAGCACAGACCCTTGCAGGAGGCACGAGAGCCCTGCCACGTGGACACCGGCATGTGTCTGTGCACCGTCACGGCTCTAAAGCAGTAAGATGTGCCTATTCCTTGAACCCACAAAACAAACCCATGAGACAGGCAGTTTTTCTGTCCCCATCTTATATCGAGGAAATTGACTTACAAACGGGGTTTTGCTGTGCCCAGATTCACTTAGCCAGCACTAACGGAGCTGGAAGTTGAACCCTGGCCATCTGACATGGCGTTCTGTCAGCTGGCTGTGTTGGTGACCTGCCTGGTCCTGAAAGCTAAAGTAGAGAACAGGGAACTTGAGTTGTGACCTGGCCTTACTATCCTCTGCTTCGTCAGTTGTCCCCTCTATCTCAGGGCCCAGCTGCACCCCTGCAGCTGTGTCATCAGCCCTGCCTCCTTCCATATTTAGGCACTTGGATGTCCTGCTCTGAAGGAACTGACCGTCACAAGAAAAAATGTCATCGTCTTCCTTTTCTTCTTTTCCAGAGCAAGATATCTTGCGACAGGAACTGAACACACGTTTTTTGGCCTCTCAGAGTGCTGACCGTGGGGCTTCCCTGGGCCCTCCGCCCTACCTGCGGACTGAGTTCCATCAGCACCAGCACCAGCACCAGCACACGCACCAGCACACGCACCAGCACACCTTCACGCCATTCCCCCACGCCATCCCGCCCACCGCCATCATGCCGACGCCAGCACCTCCCATGGTGCGTACCCCAGGCAGAAATGTGAGGATAAGTAGAGCACGACTCTTTTCTTTATGCAGAATGGTGGGGTTGGAATGGGTATTTGGGGGTACAGGTGACTGGATGGGAGTGACAGCTGTTTGGGGGCTTCTTTGGCCTTGTCCACTTCGCTAGAGAAAAGGATATATGCCCTACCTCTAAGGACCCCTCTAAGTTAGAGCCCTACAGTAGGAACATTTTTATAGACAGTCATACCCTAGCAGTGTAGGTCGCTTTTATTCTAAATACCTTCAAAACAGTCACATCGAGTATTGGTAGTTAACTTCTTCAAGGATTGTTTTGTTTTCTTCAGCATCCTGGAAGATTGTAAGGATTGTTTTGTTTTCTTCAGCATCCTGGAGGATTGTCACCAGATTTAAAAAAAAAAAAAAGCATCTCTCTGCTCTATAAAAAAAAAAAAAAAAAAAAAAAGCATCTCTCTTCTCTTTGTACAAAGTATTTACACATAGAAGTGTACAGAGTATTGAGGATGAGGAAAAAACAGAAGGGAGAGGAGGAGAGAGGGACCTGTCAGGAGGCTGGGACTGCACTGGATACCACCTGCCCATTCAGATGATTTCCCTAATCCTACTTTGTTGGAGGACTTACATATCCCGTGTCTTATAAAACAGTGCCCTAATCTGGCATTGTGCTGTGTCAGGGGTTTGCAGGTGGTCAGCAGTTGATAGCCCTGCAGGGACAGAACTCTGCCTTGTGGTAATGGTCTTGACCGGGGGACTATCACCACCCAGAGACCCAGTTAGGATTTCTTTTTTGTAATTAGGAAACATAGTTAATAGTGCCATATTCAAATGCTGAATATTCTTAGAAAAGAGTCTTGACTCTAACAGTGAATATTAGGGTATTTTACTTATTTAATTTTTATATGCAAGGGAATATTTAATTTTAAGGTAATTAATATAGGAGTTGTAAGAATACATCTGATTTTCATGATTTTAAGAGGAATTCCTTTTACCCAACTTTGCTGCCGTTCTTTCTTCTCCCTCCCCCTCCCGCTTAATTTTTCCAAATATATTTTTTAGCTTTGTTTTATAAATTCTATTTAGAGGAATATTAGTGATGAGACCCTGTGACCAAAAAAATTTCCTATAGCATCTTTTTTCCAGATGAACTGTACTTCTTAACAATTACATTTTTAGGTAATAATCATGACATGGAAAGAGATGTCTTTAAAAAAAAAGAATTCTATTTTAAGGGCCTAATATTTTGAAATGCACTTTTATGCTGGCCTGTGTGAACTATTTTACAAAAACATTAAATCTGAGAGTAGTTATAGCACGAGAATGATGATATTATATGGAGGGAATAATGGTTCTAAAGTGTTGTTCTGTTCAAAATAAAAACTGTAAGACCTACCTAAATTGTTTTGTATTTAGGTATAATATATTTCTGAAGAAGCTGAACATATGATTCTTCTGCCAAAGGAAGATGAAATGAAAGGAATTTTCTAGATAAAATAGACCAAATGCTCACTGCTTTCTGATTTATTGGGATAATGGCCTGTTTTCTCCAGTTTGGGTATTTGGTTTGTGCTAATCTGTAGATAACAGAGTAGAAAGAAAGCCATAGCAGTGTGTTTAGAATCCAGATGCACTGTTTGGGTTTTCACTTTGTTTTTCCTCCCGTCTGTTGGTTTCTTGAGTAACTCAGGAGCTCAGAATCTGGGTTTCATATATACAATGAGGGTATTGAGTTTGATGACAGCTTACTGACAGAGGAACTTTTTTAGGACTATCTCCACTAAAGCAGTGAACAAAAATGCAGATTAAGTAACTAGCTTTTGCTTTAATCCCTTTACAGTTTGACAAATACCCTACAAAAGTTGACCCATTCTACCGGCACAGTGTGAGTTTTATTACCATGCTACACTTTTAATGTAACTGCTTTTCCATTTTTGTGCTCTTGCCACAGATCAGTCAATGACTAGCAGCCTTCCTTAATCATCTTTGCAAGAGTTCCCATTTGCTCCTTGTCTCTTTGGATGCTTGCTTTTGTGGCGTTTTGCTTTTGGTAAAGATGCAGTATCATCTCCTGAATCAAAAGATCATAAGCTCTCCAAAGTTGAACAAAGTTGTAAAGCAAAGTTGTACTTCATTGGAAGTCGGGCATCTGTCCTGCAAAGTGGGGTGTCTGCAGCTGAGTCATGATCCTTTGCAAGAGAGTCTGAAATCACAGGATTTCAGTCTTAGTTGAAATGCCATTAGCACAGACTTCCTGGAATTCAGCGTGAATTCATCTCTCTAAATAGAAAGGCCCTTATCTTTTTGACTCTCAACACTTGAAAAAGTAGTTTTTCATTTGCTTTGGCCTAAATGTAGAACCTTCTTCCATCTGACTGGCATTGTTCTCTTGAACTTGTTACATCTGAAAATAAAATTATTATTTAATTGTCCTAAAATTAAGATGAATGGCATTGTTTTCTTTAAACTCATTCTTTAAAAAATGCTTATTTTATGTAATTTTAAAAGTACATTCTGGAACTTAAATTGGTACCAACCTATAATACATGTTCACTTTGTAAGACAAGAGCTTCTTTCTGTACAAAGACCTTGAACATTTTACCATGATATTTTGATGAAGGGGTGAATACTGCATCATTTTTTATCTGCAAATTTGCAAGTTTCTTTGCTAAATGGTTTATTTATATTTCTAAGATGAAACCAGATAAATAGGAAGATTAATTGCTTGTGTTTATGTTGATTTACCATATTCAACTATTTTTGCTTTATTTTTTAGTATTATCATTTAAGTAAAAGTGCTTTTTAACAGATAGATTAACAAAGACTGAATTTATTCATACTTTGAGCCAGATAATTAGATCCTTATTAGTCAAGAATATAGCTGAAAAGTCAAAGACTAGAAATCGGGGGACCAGCAGGTGGCATAATGGCTGTGTCACGGGACTCTCATGTGGTTGATCACAGTTCCAGTCCCAGACCCAGTGGCTTAAACTCACACCTGGAATGTGTGTGTGCATGGCCAAGATCCCAAGAGGAGAATGGAGGAGAAGGGATTGCAGTGTGGCCATTCCCCCTGGGGGGGGAGGGGTGATTTTTCGCTTTCTGTCTCTCTGTCTCTGTCTTTCTGGCCAGCGCACGCACCCTATAGCAAAAAGCTCTCCAAAAAAGAAAAAAAGAGTAGAAATCAATGAAGAATTATTTACTCTAGAGGCTTTCAGAAATAGCATGAGAAAGACCTCTTCAGAAAGGAATTAGAAAAACATATTTGAGTGACCCAACCCGCAGGGTTCACCACCTTCTGGTCAGTGCTCCACACTCCAATACAAAAACAGTTTTAAGTGGACATGCACAATTCAGTAGACCTGTGTGTTTTCTCTTTGGATCTCTCCCATGAATGGTGTCATTCTGCCCTTAGTCTGTACTTGGCTTATTTAACTTAAGGACCAGCTTCCTAGGACCACCTGCCCTGCCTTTTTATATGCATATTCCACAGGGATATGGGTTTGAGATGGAGAACAAGCCTTTGTTTATGGGGACCTAACTTTTTGGAAAGTGTATGTTTTATTACTTGGGCACTTCAGGTTTTAGTCAAGGGAGGAATAGTCAGCTCTATTTATATTCTAATAGGTCAGTAACAGAATAAAGCTAAAGGAAAGTAGTTTAAAAGCATTCAGTGTTTTTATTGTAAACATTAAAGGAAAAATGCCCACCTGGAGGCAGAGTAATAGAAATTCGAGCATGTTTTAGTGTGGCATGTATTTAATTACTCTGCTTTATACCGTGTACTATGGGAGAATTATTTCATATTATCAGTTATAGCAGATAATATATGAAGTACTTAGTCCCCCTGCTTTGGGGATTAGAACATTATAAGGGGAATTAAGATGCAATGTACTCAAGTATCTAAAACACAATTTTAGACTTAAAAGTAGTTTTAAATGAGGGCACTTGGCTTGCAATCACTGTTTAAGTGGATTTAGTTCAATATCAATTAGTCTGAAAAACTTTGCAGCATCATTGAAGGAGCAAAATGAAATAAAGACCAAACAGAAAGAGCACATGCTCTGAAAAGAGACAGGATTGTGAAATATGAATTTCAGGCATTACCTGAAATAGCTAAAATGGATGCATTATTAAAGGCTTCAGTTATTGCATTTTTGACAACCAACTAGGGTGGGGTATTAAAGTCTCCATGGTGATTTGATCAAAGTAAATGGAACCAGAGTAATAGAATCTCAGAAATACTAAATTTTTACAAGGAGGCAAAGATGAATCTGTTTTGTCCTCAGTGTTGCCATGTAGTTCTTTCCTCAGTTGTATTCTTTATAAGTTACTGATTCAAGAAAATTCATATTCTTCATTCAGAATCATTCTTTCATCATTGAGTGGTCAGATTCACACATCAAGACCTCTATTTGAGTAGCCTGCAATGAACTCAATGACTATCACTCAGAATAGCCATAAAAATTCTGACTTCCATATTAATGGAGAAGTGCTTTGAGGACCCGTAACTCTGGGAAATAAGAGTAACAAAACCAACTAGTGATATTCTAGGCATGGGCTGTTTCCATGCTGTTATAATCCATCTTCCAGAAAAATTGGCAGCTCCGTTGAAAGCATATAGTAAGACATTTTATTTTACCCTGCTGTAAATATTTGTCATCATTTTAGATGAGAGAATTAAGTTGTCCTCTGGAACTGCCACTTCCAGAAGAATCTAATGAAGCAGGGATTGTGAATATGTTCTCATTTCTTCAAACTATTAAAAATCTAAAAGTACTAATTGAGTTTTAATGGTATAAAATCCTGGCAGTTTTAAAGACTTGCTTCTTTTTAATCCTTTTTTTCCGTTTTCTTTTTCTTTCTTTCTTTTTTTTTTTTTCTAATTAACTTGCAATTTTCTGGGCACCTTATTTGGCTCTGCATCCCTCCTGTTTTTGATATGCATTAAAATCTCCAACCATTTAGGACTTCTATCCAATTTAACAATTAATAATTAGAAAAGCTCCCTTTCTAACGATGTCTTCATCTGGGACATCATTTGTTGGCTGATTGATTCTGAACTACTTTTAACTTTTTCAGTTAAACATTCATGGCACATCTGTGTGATCATTTCATCATGACTTCCTGACTAATAACATCAAACAGATTACTTGGCTTGCTAATGTTGGAGTCTGTCTATGGGATGGGAGTTGAAATATATCACTTGCTTCCTACTAAAATCTTTTCTCCCTCTCCATCTGTGGTACAGCTCTTCCATTCCTACCCTCCTGCAGTGTCGGGCATCCCCCCTATGATTCCACCCACTGGCCCTTTTGGTTCACTCCAAGGAGCATTTCAGCCGAAGGTAAGAAACCTCACAGTGAAAACACTGGTATGTGTTTAGTGGAGTCCTGGGTTAGGCCTGCAGGTGGGTTCTGCATCCTCTTGTCCATGTGTAGGATCTGATTCATCAGATCCTAAGTGATCACTGGGCTTAGAAAGAGCATTTCTTTTTTTCTAGTCCATCTCGTTTTAAACCTCAGCAAAAATCTAATTTTTAATCTGTACTACTCATGCAATCTCAGGTGAGCTAAAATGTCCTGTGCTTTCTAAAATATGCAGAATACATTTTTTTTTCCTACCAATATGTGGACAGAAGCTTCTGGTCAAGAATTTTATGAAATTTTACTATGATGAATAAGTAGCTTAGATTTACTTCTGAGGCCCCATGCACTGCTGTTTTATATGCATATTCAACAGAGAGCCCCAGGTTCGAGATGGAGAATAAGCACCAAGCGTGCACCAACTTGCCCGTGAGATATATATTATTGATAAAGATGGAGAGTTGAGTCTTTATTGATTTTAAGAGAAAAGGGGGAGAAGAAAGGTTCCAAACCTGGAATTGTGTCTGGTTAATTGCGTCAGGGGAAAATTCTTCTCCTCATCCTCCCTCATTTCCCTCCTTAGCCCCATCCGTCTGCAGATAGGGTCTGCCTGCAGGTGGACAGCAGCCGCCTGCTTTTTGTAAGTGTTTCTCCCTCTCTACTCTCTCAGTCTTCCTCCCCCAACCCCACTATGGTCGTTCTTGCCAAGGTCAAGACTATCATCGGTTTCTAACATCCTACTGTGAAATTAACCTGTTACCCTTTATAATAACTAAACTCTCCTCTATGTAGTCAGTGATAACACTGTTCATTTTGGGCTATAGTCATTTCTGAAGGCCAATAGTGAAGAGTAATTCTCAGAACATTACACCCTTTTAAAATCGACTACAGCCCCTATACAGACAGTATAAAGTTGGTCTGTCAGCAACCTTTCTCAGATTTTAAAGTAAGACTTTTTTTAAAGAATTATTTTATTTCATTTTATTTATGTATCCATTTATTTTAATTTGTCCAGAGAGGTAAAGAGTGAGAGTGAGAGCAAGACAGAAAGAGAGAGAGGGAAAGTGAGAAAGCAAGCTTTCAGGTTCAGGACTCAAACTGTGGTCAGCCATGTGTAAGTCCAGTGCCCCAAACCACCACACCACCTGCTGGCCCCATAAAGTAAGACTTCTTGTTGTGTGTCATTTGGGTTTCTTTTCTTCCCCATCTCATTTCTAAGGCAAAATAACAAGCTGTGGGCCTGAGTCTTCCAGGGTAACCACATACTGCATTTCCAAAGGCATGTTGTCTTAAAACTAGAAACAGGGACAGAAATGAGAAGGCATGGGAGATGAGAGGGCTGCATCCTTGAAAACACACTGACCTGCATAGGACCACAGATTACACACAGGGTTATGTATACAGGAGGCATTTATGATGGTCATGTTAAACTTTATCTCCTCTCTCGAGATAAAATCTGAGTGATTTTGAAGCTCCTTCCCCCCAGTCTTCTGCTCACTATTCCCTCAGACTCCCCTGGTCTGTCCCCTGTTTCCTCAGACCCTGGTCTGTCCTCTCTAGGTTGCAGCAAATCTCTCATGCATCCCCCAAACAGACTGGTAGGTCATTTAATAAATTAGACTATTTCCCTCACTCACAATTATCCAATCACACAGAAAACTACATCTGGGCAAGAAAGTGTCTCTCCTGGTGTTGAAATAGGCCTTTCCAGGCCATCTTACTGATTGAATATGTAGATTGCAGTTCATTAGTGGAGTTCTTCATATGTATGCAAATCAGGCTGTTAACAACTCCAGCTTAATTGTTAGTTGTACTGCAGCTGATTGCTTTTCTTTCTTTCATTCTTTTTTTTTTCTTCTCCTTGTAAGCAAGCTGTGTGCCTAAACTTGGGCTTTTTCCCCATGAGCTAACTTCCTGGTGTAAGGGGGTTGATAGAAGTTGTGATTTCTTCAGTAAAATTACTGGTGTTACTTTTCTAAATCCTTTCCCACTAGAAAGTAGTGACTGTGCCAAAGTAGGCTTTTTTGTTGTTAATTCAAAGCACAGAAGCCTGCATAGAAGGTTAATATTATTAGTGATATTTAAGAACGGCGGTGGGAGTAAGAAAGATGAAACAGGATTACTTTAGAAATCACTTAATAGTAGATCCGTGTGGTCCCTAAATTAGGTTCTCTTGTCCCATTTCCACCACTGCTAATGAGTAATTACTGAGTGTAATTTCTTGTTATTGTCTGCCAGTTAAAATTTGGAGTTAGCCTAATGTCTGTAAAATACTTTCAGTTATTCTGATGAGAGGCACCTGATACTGCAAATTATAATGTTCATTTAAACATTTCTTGGAATGTTTGGTGATAAAGCAGAAACATACACACACACACATGCACACAAACACACAATGACAATCAGTGCTGTTGGTTAACTTGGAAGACAAAGGGTTTCAGGGGTAGGATTTACATGGGTCGCTTCTCTTAGTGGTCCTGTGCTTTGAATTGGGGTGAAAAGTGCTGGGGCTACTGCCTCCATGCTTTTAGATGCGATTGGTAGAGAGAGTGATTTCTCTGGTCAGGGCCCCTTGAGAAAATAGGGAGCATGTCCTCTTAAAGAGCCAGCGTGGTCACTGAGAAAAATAATCTTGTATTTCAGAATGAAACGAACAAACAAATGAAGTTTGACTCCTATTATTTAGAAGGAAGGAAAGAGCTTGCTTTCGTGTCGCATGTTTTGTGCTTCCTAAGCTGTGGTCTAATTAATTTGTAGACATCCAACCCTATCGATGTTGCTGCTCGGCCTGGGACAGTCCCACACACTTTACTTCAAAAGGACCCAAGGGTACGTGCAAAGTCAGGCTTGGTCTCAGGTAATGCCAGGGTGTGACAGGCAATGCAGTGCTAGCCCTTTTCAGTAGATCAGTTAAGCGAGATGCTGTTTCAGCTGTCTCTTCTAGCTTGCAGAAGACAAAGCCAAGTCCTCTTAGAAAACAAAATCTCTCCTGCTCTACTGCATGACACAGGGGACTGACTTACCAATGTGAGTAAAGAGGAATGGCTTATGGTCTAAGCCCCCAAATTGGATACTGTTTAGCTTGTAGAGTTTCTACTTGACCAGTCTTCTTTATTTCTCCTTAAGTTTCTCTCACACAAAAGAAATAACCATAGAGTGTTTCGAATGGAAAAGCACTACTCGCATTTCTTCCTGGAAGTCAGGAGATAGCCCCCGACCATCTCCCCAGAATCAGGAAGTTCCTGTACCACACGGCTCTTCTGGCCTTTATTTTTAATGCTGTAGGGACTCTTTTGAGCTCTAGAGCTACATAAAATATCCATTATGCATTAGTTATGTTATTTATTCATAATTTATACCACTACCTACTTCCAAAAGAGAATTTGAACTTAGTTGTACAATAGATATAATCTCGTATCATTGATTGTTATTAATATTCATCTTTCTAGTAAATGTGAAAAAATGATTACCTTTTACAATATTGTCTTTTTCCCTGGGTAAGGGCAGTCAGAAATTGATGACCAGAGTTAGGTAGAAGTTTAAAATGACTCAACTATGTAAGTACTTTTATGATGTTTAGTGAACTTCTTGAAAATGTCTAATGCTCATAATAATATACAGTCATTAAAACAGGCTGTTGGTAAAGAGAGTTCTATTCTATGTCTGGAAAGGCCAACTCTCCCCAGAGACCCCTTAATATCTGGCCTAGAAGTCCACTGTCAGAAGGCCAAAGATGAATAGCAGTCATGTGGACATGCAGATCTGGCCTGTTCTCTCGTTGACCCACTGGTTTGAAAGAGTCACTGAAGATAGTGAAACTCCAATGTGTAATGTGAGCAGAACGTGTTGCCCAAGGGCACACTGCTTTGATTAAACTTGTACAGGGGCTTGTCAGTGTAGACATACCAAGGTTTGTGAGGTGGGGGAGGCGACACTTGGCACTTTCGATAGTGTGAAAATGGGTTAATTATTCTCTAAAAGGGCTTCATTTAAAAGTAAAATTCTAACATTTTAATTTCCCCTCCTAATGAAGCACTACAAATTTGTTAATTAGAGCAATTGTTTGAGTGACAGGCGTGTAACCAAGTTGTCATTTTCTCTTCACAGTTGACAGATCCTTTCAGACCTATGTTAAGGGTAAGAAAGCTTCTTCTAGAACTGTTTTGCAACCTCTATTTGACTCCCTTGTGGGTTAAAAATACAAATCTATTACAAGGAAGTAAGCCATAGAAATCTTGCAATAAAATGACAGAATGGTAGCGATTGGGTTTTTCAGGTAGTGTGATTACAAATGGCCTAAATTATTTTGCTTCGAGTGTTGGAAGAAGCCAGGCCATTAGCTTTTTTTTTTTTTTTCCCCTCTTCCTATAACATAAGATTTCATGAAGCCAGGTTCTCTTGTTAGCAGTTCTGGTAAGAGATTTAACTCGTTGGGAGTTCAAGGGGAAAACTTAACCTTTAGGCTGAAATTAGTCTCTCTTTCACTTATGAAATATAATGCCAGGTCTATTTATTTTGGCTGTGTCTCCCTCGTGCTGCACTAAGTGATGTTGACTTGCCATTGGTTTGTGAACATCTTGCTTAAAGCATGGTGTTCTCTAGGTCTGGTGAGTGGGAAACAGATGACCTCTGAGTGAATGCTGATTTGCTTGGGGGAGTGCAGAGATGATGGATGGAAGACAGG